CCCCCCGGTACATCAGTCGAGTCTCTTACACACGTGATTCTTGATCGGCGTCCCAAGGACGTAGACGCAGATGACGGAAAAGCAAAACGTCGGCTCGGCGCTCATCTTTCGTAATTTTCCATAACCCGACGAGAACCCGTCAGGATATCTACGGCAAAACTGGTACTGGCGACCAGTTACGAGGGCCCTTGGTGGCTGGTCGGGCGTCAGGGAAATTTCATAGCCGGTACCGGTATGCGTGGACGTAGGACACGGCGCGAGAGCGAATGAGTAACGGGTGCACGAGGCGCCGGGATAGGAATAACAGGAAGTGCGAATTGAGTGAATTAACGTGGAGTAGGAAAAAAAAAAAGGAGAGAAAAAAGGGGTGACTGATGAAATTAGTAACTAGGAAATATGTAAAGTAACGCCGGAAGCATAGGACGCTGCGCTTGCGTTAAACCATACGCGAGCGCAGAGTCGCCGCGAGGTGACGTGTATTACGTTATAGAAAGCAGTAATGAATTCTTGAGGAACAAAAAAAAAAAGAATCTTCACCCACTGCCAGGACCAATAGAAACGTGGGAGAGAAATGTGTATATAGTAAGAAGCCCAACGTGCAACGCTACATTGCACAGTCGGAATAGACTCAAGTGCGCCGTGCAACGGCGTAGGAGGGTAATGTAAAATATATAGGAAAAAAAAGGACAAGCAAAATAAAAGCGTAGAGGCAGATTCACTCGCGTAGAATCTTCGAGAAGAAGCCCCGTAATTGGCCGGGAGTTCATCAGAGAGGGCTTTACGCGGTGTGCGAGGGCACCCCCTTAGGACATCTTATTTACGTTAGTTAGGGGGTTGTTGGCATAGCCCACCCCAGGGGCCATTCAATGTGGCCACCCCCTGCGATGTTGGCGCATACGTATATATATATATATATATATACATGTAGATTCCTACGTATCCGACGCAACGTACCCGCCCTATAAGACATAGACACACAACATCCTTAGAATTAAGTATATAGAGAAGGTATGTATATAGACAGCTATGTACATAGGGCTCTATGTAGAAGCGAAGGGGAAACTGAGTAAACTTAGTGACATGTCACTCGAGCTGGAAGAATTCGATCTACGCGCAAGAGGAGTCCCCACTAGTTTCAAGGGATAGGGAGGTTGAGGGAGGTAAGACGGTGAAACTGTAGCAGGAGGATTTCATCAAATTCCGATATCGAATTGGTTAACGCGGAAAGGAAGGATGACTCGAGTGGGGATGATAACGGGTGGGTCAGGGGGTGTCTCGCAATAGCTTTTCTTATGGCCACTCGAGGGTTTCCTGGAATTTCGTAAAGTCCATGGCGATTAAACTTTCTCGATTAGTCGCTTATGGTTGCGTGATACGCAGGACGGATTCTTGTGTATTCCGATAGCTTGTCGATAATCAAGAACTACCTTACCGACTGGGTGACTCGATGGACGAACGACAAAACTAGCGAGATACGTCCGGGGCGTAATAATCATGTACGCGACAGGGTAAGAGGCTGTATGGTAAAAAGACGAGATGATAAGATGACTGGTTGGATGCAAGAGGCTATAAAAGGAATGTCAACAAAGCTTTCTAGTAAAATATAACCGAGCGAGATAACGTCGACTCGAGCGACGTGTTTTTTTTGTTTCGTCTGTCACGTGAAATAAAATGTGCTTTCGTTGCTCGGATCACGTAAATATATATGTATATACATATGGAAACGTCTGTGGTGCTTGTCACGTTATTGCGAAGTAAATAAAGCAGTCTGTGTAAATTAAACAAGCCTACGATACCTCAAGGCTCCCCGGTTAGATCACAAGACGGTTCAGTGGGACGTTGAGGGTTGTTGTAACTGACATCCTTGACACACTGACTCCGGTTGGAGCGAAGATCAAATAAACACTTTTTAAAAGCAACCTTAATCTCGTTCCCCCGCGAAGAAAATTAAACGACGGTTTAACGACGAATTTTAGAACGTAAGGTACTACTACACAGCACCGAGTCTATTACTTCGCCGTCGGGCGAGCACCGGCTTTATTAAAATTGCACGTCCATCTTGTTCTCGCTCGGAAAGTTCGTTAAATTTCCTCTTCTCAATTTAACTTGAGTTTCGTCTTCTCCTCCTGGCTCCTCGTACCGACTCATTCGCCTCCCTTTCATTAGAACCTCGACCATACCCTTGGTGATTCAACCTCCTGATTAACGACTGGCAATCGGAATAGAATATAGAGAATAGGTAGCTCGAGGAAAAACGAAACTGACGTCCGACCATACTTTCCGATACTTCGGAACGCGCTCGTTAGATCGCGCTAGTGCGGCGCGCGCGGGTAAATTGAATTACTCAAACGGCTCATGGAACACGGGTTAGCTTTAAGGGAGGATATAAAAGGTAGTTAGGTAATTAGCAGAACCTTGAAAGGTTGAAGGATCGTCAGAGCGAGCATTCGGGGCGTAAGGTTACTTAAAGCCGCCTTTCAAAGCATCGCACAACACGATAGTCATCTGATATAGAAGTGAACATACGTGCGTATATACGTATATATACACATGTTATTTCATAGTAGCGTCTGAAGTAGAGCGCGAAACACGAGTGACGTAATCGTTACAAAATCATAAAGCGACGTTTAAGTTAAACACGAGAGACGACTAATTCAAATAAACTTTCTCATAAATTCTGATAATAAAACGACCTAACAACCTGATGATTTTTCAAGACGAATAAGAGGAAAAATAAAAGTATCATTACGAAATGACTTTAACGACTGTCTCGAGTAACGAAGAGGATTCTTCGTCGATTTTATTACAGTGTCTATCGGCATCCAGTCTAGCGATACGTAACAGTCTCGTTATAAGGATTGCTAGTGATACGCGTCGGCCTGTATTACGGGAAATTTTCCCAAGATGCACTTTAGGATAAGAGGAGACCAGCCAGGGACAGTTATCCTACATAGGAGAGAGCGATCGAGCAATTTTGGTAAAAGGGTTTTGCTATTCACGACCCTGGGGGCTAAGGGTGGCACCAGGTGATGGTTCACGCTAAAAGCCGGTTTTCCTTTAATTTATTGACCAAGTAAAGCCTGGGGTGCGGAATAGACTTGATGCAGTAACGTTTCTCTGTAATTTTTTTTTCTTCATTTATTTTCACTCCTCCCGACGCTACGAAAATTCCCATTAAGCGATTGCCATTTTTCTACTGATAGATAGTTACCAACAGATCCCTGTCGATTCACCAGGAACTTCGATGGCATCTCAATTAAGAATTAGAAGGAAGAAAAACATGAAAGAGGCTGCTGGAGCTGCACAAGAACATTCTAGAAACTTCGAGAGAAGTATCTGACTGAATTGCGGAGTCACCTTGCAAAATGACGTATATCCGTAGTCGCTTCGTCTTACGGGGGTAATATTAAATTCCCATCTGAGAGGAGAGTGCTAAGGTACCCCCTAGGACAACGCGGGGGTAAGGGGGTAGGATATGCCGACGACGTGAGCGAAGACTGTTTTGAGTTAAATAATTCAGTTTCTCGACTTCTGGTAGAGGGGTCGATTCACCCCCCTGCTCTGCCATGCCGTACCATCGCTTTATTTCAGTTCCTCCCGTCATTCCGCATTCTGCCTGTTTTCCACGATTTTCCGTTCCCCATTTTTCTTCTCTCCCTCTCCGTCCGCCACCCTCCCCCTCCTCCTCATCCTTATCCCTATTCCGCTATTATCCTTCACCCTCCGCATCTCCCGTTCGTTTCACTCCGGTCTCGTTCGCCCTCAACCAAAATCCCCGGCCTCGCCCGAAAGCTCCGGGCCAGGAGCCAGCCGGCAGTAGAGCAGAGGCATCGCAAGGAGAGCCATCCCGGCCGTCAATACTATTCCAAGAACCCGCCAGCCGACAACAGCAGTACCACGTGGGCGTTTCCATGGCAACGTAAAAACACGAAAATATAAACTTTTATTTCGGTCAATATCTTTTTTTAACGACTCCTTCATACCGACCCGAGACTCCCTCCTCCGCGTGTCTCACGTTAATAATCCAAACATCGGCCGTCCCTGCTGGCTCTCGCGCGCACGGCTACCGCAACTGTCCGAATTGAAAGTTAAACCTCGCGGCGTAGCTCGCAAGTGCGCCAGACGCCGTCTCGCTCAGTTTCCACGCTCGAATGGCTTTTCTCGTTCGTATTTCAGCCGAGCTAACGGAAGCGAAAGAGATTTCAAGGGGTTAAATTTAATTACTGAAACTTTCCCCACCAACCAAATCACATTCGAATGTCCCTTTTTCCTGTCAACGTCCCCGTAGAATCTAGGCGAATGCCTAAAGTCTAAAGTCACGCCGGGTTCTACCGATGGCTCTGGGACTCGACACTTGCCAGTACGATATATTAAAGTGTCCTGCGAGAGCGGAAGGCCAATTTGATGGTTCGAAAGTTCGGCACCCACAGACCCCACCGAAATTAACTGTCAATCTCAATTTGAGAATAGAGCTTCCCCCTTCGGCCGCCAGGGGCTATCAGGCGCATAGATCGCGCCCCGCGTCCCGAAACCAGAATCAGCCCCGCCATCAATTATAAACCAGGCTGCCGTGGATACACGTCCGTCAGCTACGTTACATTGTGTTATTTAATAAAAAGCTAATCCACGATCCGTCATAACGTGTGACAGTCAACTTATATTCACAGCATACATATACCCATATATGTACAAGGGTCCATCATACGGGACATACAGCTTCATGCAGTTAGGAGTGTTTCGCCGGGGGATGAAATAAATTAATTTCGAAGTGACCACCTTAACGAGGGTAGCGACGCCATTTTATTAGGTTGACCAGCATGAAGGCCAATTTCTCTCGTAACTCATAAGACACCCTTCGGATCTCGAATTCTCTCCACTACGGAAAAAAAAAAATTCAATCCCCCATAAAAGATCTGTACGGTCACAGTATCCAACTGCATTGTACAGAATCCAAAATGCACCCCCCATTCGACCCCTATTTCGCAAGAGGAACGACCACGGCACCTAACGCAGCCCTGGGAGTCCTACCGGAGAAGAATCGGTCGAAGGGTGTAAAAAAAAATTAATACACCGTAAAGATCGAACACGTGAAATCGCGTTATGGCATCTCGTATATCAAGTCCCGGCAGCCGATTTTTGCCAGGGGCTCTATTATTTCATGGTGCAAGTCAGCGTCCCGACGGGGCAATATCATCGTGCGAGCGGGACCCCGAAATAGCCTGGTGGGCTCAAGTTTTCCAGAATAATCGTCACCGAGCACCGACAATATCGATATATCAAAATTACTCGTCCGCGCGAGATATCGGGGTGGGAGAAAAGAAAGTACCCCTCAAGGAGAGTCATTAAATCACGAAGACTGACCCATCCGCCCCTGGGTCCCTTCGAAGCGGGAGGAACGAGCGCCAGCGGGGGATCGTGGAGGAATTAACCGAGGAAATCTGTTGCCGGTCAATTACGGATAAGATTCCGAGGATCGTTCTAACGGGCTGACGTCACTGTTTGCCAAACTGCCCCTACGCGCTGGATATCGTCGATGCTAGCTGCGTTATTTGCCAGCTTGGCAAATAACCACCTCTGTATCCTGAAAATCCAATCCCCCACGGTCTATACGTTATATCTCTGTGTAACGCAGGCCCATATACGCCTAATTCCAATATACGTTGGCCGTCTCCGGCTAAGCCCGAACCCCGTACGACCGTCAATTTTCCACGTCGGTGAGAAAATTCTCATGAGAATTTCACGGCTCCCCGTGCACGCGTTCGCCGTAGTTCCCGAAAAACCGTGCGTCGACGAGAAACGGCAATTTCAGGAATTTGCAGGACGCACCGTCGTGAAGGGGAGGCAGGAAGTTTTGGAAAAAAAAAAATAAATTACGCATATCTCCCCGAGAATCACGTGGATATAATCGGCACGCTGACCTATGAATTTGTGCAGGATAAAAATAAAAGCATCGATCGCACGGATACCGGTAAGGCTTAAAACGTGCCGATCGCGATCGAGAATCGGGTAATTTTTTGTCAAGGGATAAAACGTTTGTACTCTATCGATAAACATCTATGGGGCGTATATACGTGTATATATATATATATATATATATATGTCAATCTTCAAAGCAATAAGCCAGCTTTATTTGTATCGTGAACGCTACGAAGCTTCAGTCCCGCTGAATTAGTCCGTAGAATGCCACGCCCTTACATAAACAGGGTAATTGCGGGGGCGTCCGGGCGCATTGCTTGGCAGAAAGGGGATGGACTTTTATCGGCATTGTCACAAAGATGACTTTATTCCTGGACGAAGGGGCGATGACGAAACGAAGTATAAGGGGCGATACGAAGCATCGGCCCGACTCGTGACGGGATTTTCGAAAGGCGCGTGCACACGCCCGTCGACCACGTATTAGCACCACCCCAGCCCGGTACAGGATATCAAGGATAAATCAGTACGCGTGCCCTTCGATCCCAGTACGAGGAAAAAAATTTTAATAAAAAAAATTTCGGACTGATATCGCGAAAAAGAAATAATACTGATTAGGATCGAGAACGAGGGGATGACGTCACGGATCATTTTACCAGGACCATCCCCCCTCCCATCCGGCAATATAACGATATAATAAATCGTCCGTTCGAATGGAACCGCCGAAAAATGTAATTAACGATCGGCACAGGATATTCGGATCAGCGGAAACAGTTAAACGATGCGTTACGTGGTGACGGAGCAGTAGGGGTAAGAAGAAGAAGAAAAAAAAAAGAAACCAGAAATCGACAATAAATTCCCCACGACCCTCTACCGTGGCTAGGTTCGTAATTTGTAAGGGCCTGTATAGTCGTTAAGAGAGCCGCTCTCGTCCAGGAGGAAATTAGAGTGACTATATATATATATATACCGAAAACCAAGGAGATACTAGAAAAAGTAGAGTGGAAATGTAATACGAAGCCTTTGTGTCCAAACGGGTACTCAGACGAGGCTGGTTCGGTCCTCGTCTCCTGAGGCTGTTCCCGACATGACAATGACACTATAGAAAAATCACGCTCTAATATAGCCCCGTGCGAAAAGAAAAGAAAAAAAAAATACCCTAGACAAAATCGATTTCACCCCTGACCAAACGCGGTGCATCATCCGCCAGCTTTGATTCAGCGAAATTCGAGACGCCTTTTCCACGCTACTCCTCCATTGTTTCACGTGGGAAGGCCTCCCCCTGTATTAGAAACTATATATATATATACCTGCCGAGTATCTACATACCATACAGGTACACCGGGTACCTGAGTATCCCC